AAACCGGCTAAATCTAGCCGGAAAACGGCTAAAATGGCAACGCTGCTACGATGGTTTCACCGATAGCCAAGATTAGTTACATGTTCATATCACACTCATTCACACAAACAGGAAAATCATTCTCCATGTTTTGGCTGGAAATCTGTTGAACTTTATTCGAAATAAATTTTATATTAACCATCTATTACATTTTTATTTACTACAATGCATGTTACAATAGCGTTATTATTAATGCGTATAGATTAGCAAAATATAAAGCCGATTAAATCATAATTACACGAACAGCTAAAATACACAGCAAATTCTCAAAATATTTAATGTTCGTATGTATATACATATTTTTTTGTTGGGTTTAAGCATTGTCAAATATACATAAGTAAAAAAATCTTTTCAAAAAATTCGAATAAACTTTAAGGCAATTTGAACTTTAGCGGTTATTGGCATGGTTCTGCGCTTATTGTTGGACTACTTTAATCACTTGAAGATAATTTAAAATTTCTTTGCGTTATTCGTTTTTGAACATTTTACAATGCTAATTTTGATTACGTTATGTACATGAATGATTGTTTAGTTTAAGCGATTTAAGGCATGTTTCAAAGCACTGATTAGCTGTAAGCAGCAAACGATTATTTCTTTATTTTTTCTTTTTCTGTGACTATTTGTTTAGGTAATGTGTGTATATGCATAACTAGGCACAATAGCATGTAAATACATAAACTGTTTTGTTAAACTAGTATTCTATTACTAAATTATATCTAAAATGTTCCGAGTTAGTTTTATTTTTTTTAAATTTTTTGCTTTAAATTTCACAGAAAATTTACTATTCATTTTTATCTTTTTACATACATATCAAAATTATGACGATTTCGCCCAAAGGCTTTGAAATTCGTAATTATAGTTTTATAAATTGAAGAAATAAAACAACAAATACAAACGTATTTAATTTGAAATAATAAACTTTTATTTTTAGACAATAAAATGAAAACGGTTGCATACTCGTTTTTCTTAGCAAACAAAAACGATTTTGAAAATTATCCTAAATTGGTGGTTTTGTAACATTGTAAAAATATTTTAAATGTACTTTTGGGTGGATGCATTTCATATCTAAAAGAAACCAAAATAATAGAGAGGTTTCATCCTATTTCTATGTTCGCTCTTTTTTATGTCGTAATAGTACAAAGCAAAGTTTCGATGCAAACAATCAGTTATCCGATGTGAAGAGCATAATCACGAAATATTTTAAAACATTCACGTGTTTTATGTACTTTATTATGATATCTGAAAACAAATCGTTATAAAAGCTGTCCACAAAAACGTTGTAGTAATTCATTACAGGTATAGAAAAGTTCAAAAAAATAATAATAAACATAATGTAGAACATCTTTAAAGAAATATGTTGATGGTAAATTATCCGCTTTTATCCTAAAAAGGGGTACATGCAGCTTAATAATTAAATTAAAATTTAAAATAAATTTTAAGGCAATCAATCTTTAGGAAACGTTGAATAATTCATGAAAATTAATTCTTGGTTAGTGTTTAACTATTTTGTCCTCAACTTAAACCGATTCTATGACACTTTTCTCACTTAAATTTTTAATTTATATAATAGGAATGACAAACCTCCGCCACATAAAAGAATTTCTTTTATAATAAAATATACCAACAAAAATTATTTATAATTAATGGGAAGATCAAAATTTGCACATCGATTGTAAAACTTAAAATAAACTAATATATAGAGAAGGTAATAATAAAAAAATAAAGCGATACAAATCCACTCATTAAATGAAAAAAATCATAATTAATGAAAATATTAGACTACTATTGTATGAAATGTCATCAAATGCCAACATCTTCCTTTTATGATACGGAACTAATGGCGTTGTGGGGCGAACCCATTTGCGTCAGCACTTTGTCCAACCACTGTAGTGGTCCATGCAAATGTATTTCTATCCAGCAAGGTGTGGAAGTCACATCTTGTCTATGATATTCAGCGCCCCAGCCCTTTACAAAACTCATACGGATTGTGCACATCTTCGTTAATTCGTAAACCGCCTCAAAGCCATTATTCACTGATTGCGATAAAAGTTGAGCAAACTCTTGATTATTGAAAATCTTCAAAGAACAACCTGGCGGTATCTTGCACACAGTACTCGGATGGAAGCCATGATGATAATTGCAGTTTCGCGATTGCACAAATATAGCCGAGTCTGATAGACATTCGGCATAGACTTCGCCAGCTACGTAATAAAGGTGCACGCCCTTTCCTGCAAAGCAAAGTGGAAAGGCATTAAGAACTAACATAATTTTTTTTAGACATTTTCAGCTGTAATAAAATACTTTCTATTTAACCGAAGTTATATGCTGCCAGCGTCGCGTAATATGGTTTATATAATAATTGTGTATGTTCCTTTTACTGTGCTTTGATAAAATAAAAATATTTGCTTGCAGTCTTTACATACCTATGTGACGGCGTGTATTTTCTATGGTACTGTTACGATTTACATTGCTTAATTGGCCCAAGCAGAATCGATCCGAATTGTTTGATGGATTCGTAAAACCGTCGACGATGACTGAATTATTATTGCAGTGGAATACTTCACCCACCCGGCAATTGAGCTCATAGTAGGCAATTGAGGCCCAAAATGCAGGCTCTGAATAGCTCACCTGGGCCACATCGCCCATCTGAGCATCGATCAATTGTGTGCCATCATTTGGATTGTTCGAATTACCATCCTCTGATGGACTGTAAGCCGGTGGCGGTGTGCCTGCCAAACTGCCGTATGGTGAGTTAGGGTTTGAGTTGACCGTGCTAGGACTACCAGCTGATGTTAGAGGCGGACTATTAGGGCTCATATTGTTGAATCCATTGTTAGAGTAGTTTACATTGGGTGGAATTGGCGGCTCAGACATCGATTGATTGAACTGAAGCATGGAATAGCCCGGTGCGAATTCTGAATGACGTGGTACCAACACCGGCGGCAGTACAGGGCTCTCAACGCGTTTATAGTGATAGGGATTGATGCAAACTTCTTTTTGTTTGGCGCTGAATGGGTACTGACAGATCTCTAGAGGTTTTAATTCATGATGTGATTGTAAATCTGGCCAACGCCAAACGCGACAATAGATGACATGTGGCAGCCCTTTGCGATGGGAGACCTATGAATTTTAATTAATACAAATATTGGTGAATAGGCGAATAGCAAACTTACCTGTAAACGACCATCTAACGAACGTGGGATTGTTACGCATTTCGATGGCTGACCTGGGCAGGATAATGCACGCTCCAATTCCTCAATTGCGCCTTTGCGTTTCTTTAACTTTTTCACTAAACTGTCAACTGCTTTTTCTGCCCATTTCTCTTCCTCGTCACCCTGTTTCCAGCCTAACAGCTTCTTCACTGCGGGCGATGTGAATGAAAAAAGTGTGCCAAGTCTGGACATTGCGCTGCTGGAAGTGGACTCGACATCTTCTGTGTCCATGCCGTTTGTCGGGTTCATCGGATAGCCGGGATAACTGTTAACTGGATGGTAATCTGTA